CTCTGTAAACCGCTTAGAGAGGGCTGAAAGCCCTATAAAGTGGTATATAAGTCTAACTGCTATTGCTATTAAGTGAACTGTTACAAGTGGGGGGCCACCTGTATATATTTTGATTAAAGATTCAATTCTTATCAATAGAGCGGGATGGTTACTGCAAACAAGTCTTTTCTTTATCTTAGAATCGAAACAGATGCTTCCTGATTTATCGTTAAACGGAAAACTCCTTATCTAAGGCCTAAAACTGATATGTGGCTGGAAAAAATGATACAACAACAATATACTTATATATTACAATACTTACAATACTTATAGCCCTGAAGTATTTTTGCTGCGGATTTTACCAGAAAATTATAGTAAAGAAAATGTATATTTGATTATTCATGTTATAACAGCAGCTAGGATCAAATTGGCACAAAATTGGAAAAGTGAAGAGATCCCTACAGAGGAGAACGTGATTAGGAAAATATCAAAATGTGCCGACGTGAACAGATTGATACTGGCAATTAAAAAGAAGGAACAACCCGATTATTATACAATTTGGGAACCTTTTTACCGGTGGTTAGAGAATAGACCTACGAATTAAAAGTAAAAGAAGTTATCTAAAGTATAGAGAATGTATTAATAGTCAGTATCACTAATAGATTTAAATGAATCACAATGAGATTGTTATGATGTTAGAGACTTCAGGTATTGGAAATTAAGCTAAAATGAGATTAAATTATGAATAAGATTGTCTATTTGAACGTTGGCACAAAATATGTGAAGCCAGATGACACCTTGGTTAACGGAGATTGTTTATATTAAAATAAAATAAAAAAATACAGTTTTTCTAGATGCAAGTTTTAAGGGTTTTGTTTTAAGGGCTTAGCTAAGTTTAGATCTCTCGTTTTTTTTAATTTTCATAAAATGGCCTTGCCCATCGCAATATTTCCTGGATTGGAATTTATTGCAAACGTATCCGAAAATTATTCCCAACACACAGCTACTAAGAAAACCTCTTCCTGTGAGTCAGACAGGCGTGACGGAGAAAAGAAAATGGCTTTTAAAAAATAATAAATGACGTCCATGTTTAATATGAGCAAAACCGTCCTGAGCAACGCGATGAAACGATATCCTTTCGTTATCGCCCGGCATGATTTTAGAGGCAAATGCTCAATCCCGATGCGACGATTTAAGGAAGCGTTTTTTGGAAAGCGGTGTTTTTCCTATCGGATTTTATTTCCTTTTAATTTTTTTTCCCCATCAGGTTTTTTTTAAAAAATTTTATAACATGTAAACATTCCTTTTTCAATTAAACAGTGTGTTGATCTGGGTATAGATCATCGTCTGGCCACTCTGCGCATGCGCACACTGGGAACAGGCTCCAGCTGTTCTTCTGCCTCACTGATGTCTGACTCCGAAGGCAGCTAAGAACTGCCAGACGGCCCTGGCCCCCCTCTCTGCCTCCGACACTGACCCCTCATCTGAGCCTTCCCCAGACTCCAGGACTGGCCCAGGTTCCTCCCCAACCCTCCTCACTCTCCGAATCTACTGTCAGCTCTGCTGGCAGGCCACAACACCTCCCTCCCTTATATGATCCTTTCCTTCTATTTCCATATTTCTAACTCCTGCTTTTATCAGCTAACCGTCGTCATTGGCCGAGCATCTGAATTTTGATCAGGTGACCACAGAAATGTTGCAAGTGTAAAAAAATCGTCCGAAGTCGCTGCCGTCGAAACTCTGAATGGTCACTAAATTAACAGTTGTAAATTGAGGACTACCTGTGTTTGTTTATTTAATTACTTGCAAATCTTCTCTGGCCTCTTGTGTTTGCAGAAGCTTTGCAAGAATCACAGATATGCTACATTTTGGATGGGATTCTCTTCCTTTATGGGATCATCCTGACCGTCCTCTACTGCCGACTTAAGGTGAGCGTCTGGGGAACCCCAAAAATTAGATGCCTCAATCCTGAAATCCTGGCATGACGATGGAATCTTTGTAATTATTTACCAACCTCTTATTCACCTTCATTTAATGACCTCCGTAATCCCTTGCGGGGTGGAATCTGGGCAACTGAATGGAGCTAGCAGAGTGTTTTAAGGGCCAGATGCCTTTCCCGTTGCCAGTGTGGAGTCTTGTTCGCAAATCAATCAATTGCAAAATTTATTAATATTTTTATTCTTCCTTTTTAATCAGTTCCTGAATCGGAAGAAGACTCCAGCGCCTTCTGCCATCTACGAAGTACGTCTGTCTGTTATTTTACAAGTTGTCTTTGACTCACAACCATAATTGATGTTGCTAAGTGAGACATTTGTTAAGTGAGTTTTGCCCCATTTTGCGACCTTGCTTCTCACCGCTGTTAAGGGAATCACTACAATTATTAAGTGAGTAACGTGACTATTTAGCGAATCTGGCTTCCCCATTGAATTTGTTTGTCGGAAGGTCGCAAAAGGGGGATCATATGATGCCCAGGGACGTTGGCGACTGTTATAAATACGTCAGTTCCCAAGCTTCTGAACTTTGATCACGTGACCATGGGGATGCTGCAACGGTCATAAGTGTGAAAAACAGTTTTAAGTCCCTTTTTTCAACGCCGTTGTAACTTCGGTCACTAAACGAAATGTTGTAAGTTAAGAACTATCTGTATTTCCAAATATCTCTGAGGTAATATCTCTGAGGTAATATTTCTGAGGTAGTATCTCTGAGGTAATATCTCTGAGGTAATATCTCTGAGGTAAATTACAGGGGGTTTCATTTAACGATTCACTTAACGACTGTGACAGGAAAGATCGTAAAATGAGGGGGGAACTTATTAAGAACTGCCCTACTCAATTATGGTCGTAAGGCGAGGACACCCTGGATTGGAAAAGAATAAAATATGCATCAAACCCTTCATATTACAAGGGAGGTTTTTGGCCAACGGGGTTCCATCTTGTTGCTTTGAATTTTAATCTTTTTTCTCTTCTGTTTTCTAGAAAGTGGATCCCATCTATGCGGTAAGTTTCGCTCTCTTTTCATTTCACCCCCAAATGATGTTTCAACCTAGAAAAAAGAGGTTTCCTCTCCTTCCTTTCAACCCTAAGGATGGTTGTTAAACACTCATTAAAATCATAAAAAAGTCTGACCCTGTGCTGTGGTGAGATGAGCAGTCCATAAGTTTGATAGAGTAGGAAAGACAAGATAGATGATAGATAGATGGATGGATGGATGGATGGATGGATGGATGGATGGATGGATGGATGGATG